CATGCATTCTGCTGGCCACTGTGAAAGCCATTGGCTGAGCCAGCTCATGGCCGGGGGCTGCCTCCCACAACCCAAGGGCACAGTCTGGCCCCTGGACTTACCACAGGGGGCTCTGGGCCCAGGTAACAGTCACCACTCAGCCCTCGACAGCCTGGGAAATACAGGTAAGCACCTGTCCAGGTGATGCAGGGCTGGGGACAGGAGGGGAAGACCCCGGGCAGGGTTGGGCTGGGCACTCAGATGGACCCAGGTGGCCCCTCTCCACTCCCAATCCTCCTGGGTACCTGTCCCAGCTCTACATTTGATGAGGGACCTTGGACTGCTCTCCCCCGCTGGCCAGGTCTGTTTCCCCATTTGTAAAATGAGGGGTTCGCGTTAGAGAAGGGTCCTTTCAATTTGAAACGTGTTTCCCTCTTCCTCCTCCCCTCCCAGGTTTTAAGGAGAACTGCCCCCTCCCCTCTGGTTTTGAAGGATGCCAGGTTCCTGGGAGTCATAGGATGGGCTGGCAGCCTCCCCCAGGTCCCTCCAAGTGACTCCTCTCCCCCCACTTTCCTCAGCTTCCAGTTCCAGCATGGACCCAGCCAAGGGTGCCCCCTCCCAGCCCGGTGCCCCTGAAGGCTTGGGGCTCAGGCCTAATAGATCCTGGGTGGGCCTCAGAGGAATCCACATGTCCCTTGAGCAAGAGAACTCGCTCTGGGGCTCTGGAGAGGCCATAGGGATCCAAGTGCCAGGGCTGGTTCTCCCAGCTCAGGACAGGAGGGGAAAGGATGGCCCAGGAGGAGGACACAGGTCCAGCGGGAAGGGCTCAGCCCCCACCAGTAGCATCCCCACACCGAGATGCCTGGGCAGCTGCCCAGCACCAGAGCCTAGGCCAGCCTCGGGAAAACTCGAGGGTGGAAGGATGAGGAGGTCCTGCTGGAGGGACAGAAAGAAGCCTGGGTGTACCCTTGCAGCCTGCTCCAACTCAAGTCAGCCACTTGTACCTGGGAGGCTGGGCGGAGTGGAGAATTGGGCTCCCGAGAGGGGAGCCTACAGGTCTAATCTCAATAAAAGCCAAGGCCTGCACCTTCTGTCCCTGGGTCTGTCTGTCATCAGGCCAATTCAGCCAGAAAAATGGTCCCTCGGCACCTGTGTTCTGAGAGCAGAGTTCCATGTCGATCCTGGGGGAATCCAAGGTGCTCCCACCCTTAGTTGAGGAGGGAGCCGTCCTCCTCTGGGCGGGACTCTGAGCAGGCTTCCTGGGTGGGCAGGGTCTCAGCAGGCCTAAGAGCAGGGCTTGGTGTTCTGGGTGGAGAGGGCAGAGGACAGAGAAAGTTAGGCCAAGTTTAGGGAGGGTGTCGGGAGGACAGCAAGTTCCCAACCTGGGCAGAGACATTGGCCCTAACCCCACGCCGCCCCTCATTGAGGCCTTGGTTGAGTTCATCCCCCCTGGGGACCCCTGGCTGCCCTGCCCCTCCAGGCAGAATGGGCACAGCCCTTCTCCCAGCTGGGCTAGACTCCAGGCACCCAGGCATGGCCTCCTCTGTATCAGGAGGTCTTAACCCCAGCCCTGTTGACATTTGGGGCTATGCCATTCTTTGTTTCGGGGGTTGTTCTGTGAGTTGCAGGATGTTTAGCAGCAACCCTGGCCTCCACTCACTAGATTCCAGTAGTGCCCTCCGCCCAGTGTGGCAACGAAAAACATCTCTGGAGAGTCTGAGGTCCCCTGGGGGTCAGAATCTCTTGGGCTGAGACCCCCTGCTCTACATCACTGGGCCTCAGCTTGTGGGGACAGACAGGAGAACCTGGGTTTGCCTCAGTGACCCTCACCATTTGGCTGATTTCCTGTCCTGGCAGCCTGGGTCAGGCAAGGGCTGACCTACCCTTCTCACAGGCTTCTGTCAGACCACATATGATGGTGTCAAGGACATTCTGGACACTAGGACAGCTGGGCTCCTTCCAGACATGGGGGAAAGCTCCCTCAGGCCCCTGCCCTTCCCCTGTACCCTGGTACAGCAGATTCTGGAGACTTTGGTCCCTGGGTGCTTTTCAGTGTTCATGCGGCCCTGGGTGGTGGCAGCTCCTAGTCCGGGCCACCAGCCTCAGGCCCTGTCCCATAGGGAGGGCCATCGGGGGAGGTCCAGCCCTCAGGGAGCAGCGCACCCACGCTTTGGAGGGGTCCACACTTGGGCTGCGGTTTCAAGCCCACCATTCACAGCTGTGTGGCTCTTGAGCAACTCCCAGCCCCTCAACCAGTCATTTGTCTAAGAGGGTGACAGGCACGACCTCCTGCCCCCAGGGTGGCCAGAGGCTCCAAGAAGTTGGTGGAAGGACCTGGTCCCCTGCTTGGCCCAGCCAGGGGCTGGGACCTGCTGCCCCCCCTGCCCCCCGCCTAAGGCTCCTGTGGTGGGGTGCCCTGGGCAGGGCCCCTGCCTGACCACTGCACTTTCACCAGCTCTAGAACCTCTTCCAGGGCTGTATTCCTTGGAAGGGCAAGGTACAATTATGATTGTAAAAAACAATTGCCCTTTGAGCTGGAAGCCGTTCTTGGGACTTGCCAGGGGACAAGCAGCTCCTGGGCCGCCCTCAGCCACGGGGCAGGTCCACAGGCGCAGGGCCTGCAAAGACAGAATGTGACCAATTAAAGTCTATTTATTTGTTTGTAGTAAGACAAAACATTATAATCTGTTCAACACTGGGCTGGACACTGCAGTGATAAGGAGGCGGGGAGGGAGGGGCAGGGCAAAGCCTCTGAGCTCAATTACGAATGTACAAGGTAGAACCTTCTGGAAGACTCTTCCCTTACCCTGAGGGGCAGAAATAAAAATCACATGATCATCATTGATTCAGATTAGAGAGGACACCCAGCTGGGCCTCAGCATGAAACCAATGTCAGCGTGGAGGTGGGGAGTCGGGGGAGATGGAGTGCCCTTCCTGCCCAGGATCCACCGGTGAGGCTGCAGGAGCCCCGGGCCAGGAAGTTCTGAGGGAGGGAAGGACACGGTCACGGAGCCCCCACCTGGGGTTTCCCGTCTCCTGCTCTCATCCGGCGTGAGACTCTGTGCCATCCCCTCTGCTCCGGAGGGGCAGGCCAGGCAGCAAGCAGCTCTAGGGGCCCTGGCAGAAGAGGCGCCAGGAGCACATGCCGTCCACGCGCACACTTCCAGGCACTGTCTCTGCCCCAGAGGTGGAGGGACCACAAGGCACGCACTGTCCCCAGCCTCAAAGGCCGGGTCTCACTTGGTCATTGCGGTGCTCAGCTTCGTCCTGTCTGCACCTGGCCAGGCCTCAGAGCTGCTGCTCATGGGGCTGGGGGGCTGGGGGGAGAGGACCCCCAGGCCCTCAGTGGTGCCTGTCCTCAGCCCGGCTCCCTGCGGCAGCTCAGCTGAATGGCACATCCACCATCTGACAGGTGGTTCCAATCGCTCGGGACAGAATGAAGCAGCCCATGGGAAGAGGCCGCGGGAGGACTCAGCCTCCTAGTGGGGAATGTGGGCACCTGTCTCGTTATCCGCCCGCACATGTGGGGAGCGAAGCCACAGAGCTCAGTGTGTGGGTGAGAAGCCTCCCCAGCTGTGTCCAGCAAGTGTCAGCCCCAGGTGGAGAGACCGGAGCTGCTCCCCGCCCCGCCGGGCTTCTGGGTGCTGGTTCTGGACCAGGGCCTGGCCTTCCCGTTATTTTGTTCCCTCATTATTCAGAGGCTCCTGTGTCTTTAGGGTTAAGTCTGTCCGTAACACTTGGGTTCCTCCCTCCCAGAAGTTTATTCCGACTTTGGAGAAAGGAGCTGGAAGGATCACACAGCGGAGGGGAAGAGGCTGGTGAGGGCCGTGGGGAAGGAAGCCCTTTCCCATGCCCTTGCTCCCAGGGCAGCAGAAGAAACAGACCACAGTGAACGCTGCCACCCCCAGGTGCCCGTGGGGCTGGAGCACGTGCAGGGGCCCGGCCAGGGCTCAGCAGAAGTGAAGGTTTCCAGATTGGGAAGGAGGACTGGAGGAGCCTGTGGGATAGACAAGAGGGGAGCAGGGGTGAAGTCTTCAGCAGAAACACTCTGCTTCCCTCCCCTCCCCAGGGGCCCGGCCTAGGAGCCCAAAGCTGGGTCCCTGGCGCTCCTGAAGTGTGAGCCCTCCTCCAGGTCCAGAGTCCCTTCCAGTGACCACTGGCTCTCCCTGGTCCCAGCACAAACCACAGTACCAACGGGGGTGCCAGCCCAGGAGGCCACGGAGCCCTGCCGCCTGGGCTTGGCCCACATCACAATCCGCTCTGGGCCGTGTCCATGCACAAGGGGTAGACCTTGGAGTCCCCATGACGCCTTCTAGCTCTGCCATTCCCTGAGGTCTGGGAGACCAGCTCCCCACAGTGCTCAGAAGCGGCCGTGTCTAAGCAGAGCTCTCATCTAGGTGCCCACCACAGGGCAAGGCCGCTGCTGTTAAAGCTGCCATCTACAGTGAAGCACCACCAGGGACACAGCGGCACTGATAACCCCTGGGAAGGGGAAGCTGAGTGTCTGGGGACAGGAGTAGAAGGGGCTTGATTTTTTGGTAACTTTTCAATTTTTGAACCATGTGAATGCATTATTTTTTAAAAAGTAGTTCAGGTAGTGAAAAAATAAAGCTCTGGCCAGGTCAAGAGCTCTGCTTTCCCTCCTGAAGTTTCTGAGAGACATTTGGGAACTATCTCGGCCCCTGGCCATGCTTCCCAGCACCCTGAGCAGCAGATGCCCATCCAGGGCCTCCTGTTTTCATTGCTGAAAGCACCGCCTCCATTTCCCCAACCATCAGCCCACTGGGCTCTGCTCCCCTTTCTGCACCCCCTGCTCTGGTGTACCTGGGGGAGACCGGGCACGCTCCTTGACTCTCTTCTCCCGAGCCCACGTAGCACCAGGCCTGCAGGTGGGGCAGGCCGACGGGCCCGGCAGGTGCCCACCGGCTCCTCTGCAGAGGACAGCAGAAGTCAGATGTCTGGGAAGGTGGTTTCCACAGGGTGCCGAGGGGTGGGGCCTGGCAGAGACTGCCCGGCTAGTGTCACATGGTCCGGCTATACTCTATGCCGCCCTTGGTGGAGATGCTTGACCATGGCAGGAAGCTGCAGAGCAGGCTGTGGGCCTGGCGGTAGATCCTGTGCGGGATGGAACAGGGGCTCAGGTTTGCTAGTGCAGAGCCCAGGTGCTGGATGTAGTCCGTGCAGCTCTGTTAAGGAAGATTCCGACTCGCCTGCCCAACTTCCCCAGGGCGGCACTGTCAGCACGGTGACCATGGGGGCTGCATGCAGACAGCACGCCACTCTTGCAGGAGGCCAAGAGCCTGCTCAGCCTCTGCAGGGCTGGAAAGCCTCATCAGATGGAGGGGGCTCTGCTGCACAAAATAATGCAGGGCAGAGCCTGGGTACAAGGGACCTTCTGGGTGAGGCCCCAGGCACCTGGACACCCAGACTAAGGCTGGACAGGACTGGGTGCTGGGGGAGGGGTCTGGAAGAGCAAGTGTTCCTAGTTCTCCCCTACGCTCAGTCCTCAGACTGGCAGGGCCCTGTCCCTGTGATGAGGAGGGGTCAGCAGTCCTGACCCCATGGACATCCACAGAGACCCATCTTCACAGGAGCTAGGCCTGCAGGCTTTTGGGCCGCCCTTGTCTTTCTTGTTTATTTCCCTGTGAAATGGATAAATCCTGGACTCATTAATTTAACTTCTTTCTCTCACATACACACAGTATTTTGGGGGTCACACCCTATGACTATCAGGAAGTCTCCTGGCCTCCACCGAACCTGTCAAGGGCCAGAGAGAGTTAAAGAGGAGGGAGCAAGGCAGGGACACACCTCTGGGTCACGCACCCAGCAAAGAAGGTTTGAACCCAAGTGTTCAAAAACAGCAAACAGTTCGTTTCACCTCACTTGCTTGTCTTCTCCCCCACCAGCACACAGCCCCATGAGAGCCGGGGCTTCTGGCTGTTTCGTTCACTGTTGTATCCCCCACGCACCTAGGGGAACAGGAGGCTCTCATTCAATACTTGATGGATGGATGGATCTTAGGCCAGGAGGCTGAACACCCTCCCCTCACACCAGTCTAACGTCCAGCGAGCGCCAAGTGCCAGAGCTGGCCTGCTTTCCCAACGTCCACACCCAGACTGTCATTTCCCAAGATGTGCCGGCCAGACCCGCCCACAACAATATCTGGTCCCATGAGCTTGGCCTTGTGGATGCCGCGTGAAGGCAACCACAGCTCCAGCTGGCGCACGGGCCCTGCTAGGAAGCCACAATACCTCACCCCTGAAAGAGAAAGGATATAGGATGGTCCAGGGAGGGTGGCCACCGTTGATGTAGAGGACATAGGTGAAGCCATCTTTGAGGACCCCTCGGATGGAATAGTAATAGGGGAGATAGTGATGCTGCTTGAAGTCTCTGTTTTCGTAGAAGTTTATAGCCGTATTGTTGGTAGTGAGGACGTGCAGGTAGATGGCTTTGCAGTGGTCCTGGGCGGTGGTTGATATGTGATCTTTTAAACTCTCAAGTAATAGGGAACCTGCAGAGGAAGAGGCGCAGGGCAAGTGGGAAGAAAGCGTGAGGCAGACAAGGAAGTCATCTTTGCAGAGGTCTCTAAAGATCTCTCAGCTTTTGGACCGAAGACCGACCTCCCATAACCAACCACTATAGAAGTCCCTAACATCTCACGGCTCGATGGGGCTTGTCACCTGAGGCCCTGAGGCATCCGGGACCGCGGATGCCAGCCTGCTAGTTCCCTCCCAGGGGCTGAACCCACAACAGAGACTCACTGATCTTTTTAGACAATGAAGTGTAAACCTGAGCCCAGGCAAATGTGGAACGGACACAAATGAAGACTCTGCCACTCACTGGCTGTGTGGCTGAGTGGGATGGGAATTTGGAGTCATGCGGGCAGCCCGGCACCCCAGATGTGGCGGGCACCCGATAAATGGTGGCTAGCACTATTTTTCAATTATGTTTTCTACTCTTAATCAAGAATACCTTGGGTCTCTGTCATACAGAGTGAAGTAAGTCAGAAAGAGAAAAACGAATACCGTATGCTAAAGCACATATATGGAATCTAGAAAAACGGTATTGATGAAGCTAGTGGCAGGGCAGGAATAAAGACACAGACGTAGAGAACGGACTTGAGGACACAGCGGGGAAGGGGAAGCTGGGACGAAGTGAGAGAGTAGCACTGACATATATACACTACCAAATGTAAAACGGATGGCTAGTGAGAAGCTGCTGCATAGCACAGGGAGATCAGCTCGATGCTTTGTGACCACCTAGAGGGGTGGGATAGGGAGGATGGGAGGGAGGCTCAAGAGGGAGGGGATATGGGGATATATGTATACTTACAGCTGATTCACTTTGTTGTATGACAGAAATTAACACAACATTGTAAAGCAATCATACTCCAATAAAGATATTAAAAATATATATATCTTGGGATCAGACATAAGCTGTGTGTGTGGTGAGAGGCATGATAAGGGGTACCCATTCCCAAGTGAGGACATTCGGGAGCGGTTATTAATCTGATCTTGTCAGATTTGGGAAGGAGGCCATGGCAGAAAGACCTGGTGTTGTATGGAAAGAGGACAGGCTGAAGGCCAAGGGAGTTGGTGGGGCCATGGGTCTTGTTGGAAGGGGAGAAGGATGAAGGTCTGGCCCCAGACAGAGGCTCAGGGATGGAGGAAGAGACTGAGGGGTATTTATGAGAGACAATCGTCAGAACGGGGCAGGGGGGCACGAGTTGGTGGCGGTGGTTTATGAGCTCTGCCACTCTTACCTATGCCGTGCTTTCTGAATTCCTTCACTACTCCCAGGCTTAGGATGTACGCAACCTGTGTGTCAACAGAGAAGCTGGAGGCTAGAATATCTCCATCCTAAAGAGAAAGTCAGAAACAGTCAGGTCAGCAGTGGAGGCCCCGGTCCCACTGCAGGACACAGCTCACTTGCCAACTTCCCAGCCATGACACCTGAGGGGACACTGGGGCAGAGGGAACAGAAGACAATAGAGGGTCACCTCCACACCCATGGAAACGAGAGGGTGTGGGCCCTTCTGCGAGAAACTGCAGATATAAGAGCACACAAAAAAATCGCTTCTCTTGGGGTGGGTGGTAGACCAAGACAAGGAGGGTCAGGGATGCCAGACGAATAAAGTCATGTCGGGAAAAAGGAACCGCTCAGCAGGCCCTCAGCACATGACAGTCCACCCGCCAAGAGACAAGACAGCCCAAGAGAGTGTGAATGTTTTAACTAGGGATCCTACACAGCCCCAGATGGTCTCGCAGTAAAGGGGGAGGCGGGGGGTAGGGTGGGCAGTGGTGCCCTCCACCACCCTCCACTGCCAAGGCAAGGCCAAGTGACACACTGCCCCACGTGGGTCTCTTGGTTCCGGAGATGCAATTTTGGACCGGGAGTGTCATGAATCCGACCAGCACACAGTTCTTATGTTCTTCTACCTCACAAAGAACTAGAAGGATCTGCCATGTGTATGGTTTTCTCTACCCCACTGAAAAGGACACTTGGCAACTTGGCCTTTGTGTCCTATCCACTGCTCACTGAGTGGCTCCCACGTGCTGGGAGTGGGTCGGCTCCCCACTCCCCGCCCCACCCTCCACACTACAGTTAGCCTGGACACAGGTGGGCTTGTCATCAGTCTCAGGGAGGTAAGCATCCTTCCTGCTCTTGTGACTCGAAGCTCACAGAAAGGCCAGTGTACCGTTTACCCGCCTCCCTACTTCAAAACAGCTGTCATTGTGAAGCCTGTGGTCGTGTTACTTAATGCATATACGACTGTGTCACGAACACACAGAAAGAAACCAACCAGGTACGAATCTCACACGCCGTCTGGGCTCCCAAGAGAAAGGGCCACAGAGCAGGCAGCGTGACTGTGTCACAAGGCCCCACAGTCCTGTCCAGAGGCACCGACTGCCAAGTCATTGCCGCATACACTCACCTCCTTGTGTATCTTGGTCCTATTTTTTATTTCAGCTACGATCATTCCCACGATGGCGCCCCTGTAGGTTGCGGCAAGGGAAAAGAACTTCTTGTTGGAGGTGATATCACGATACCATGAGTCTGGGTACCTGAAGAGGAGACAAACTCAGAGGAACTGGCCAGGTCAAGTCCAACCCCCGTCGTGCTTCAGAGAGTTGAACCACAGGGGACCCTAGGCTGCTCTGTCCACCACTCAGGGTTGACGAGGGGTCTGCCCTTTGCTGTCTCCACTGAAGTGTATCACTCTCAGAGTATCATCTTCTGAAAGCGGTTATCTGTCCAGACAGGACTGGAAATTTGATAGGAAAACGATCTTACAAGACACAGAGACAAGAGGGGAAAAATCTCTGATGATGCTGTCCCCTCGAGAGCAGTGCCTGGGGGGGCAGGTGGATGAGTTAAGATTGATGACCCCCGCAGCCTGTGGACACTTGGGTGATTTCCAAGAATTCTGTGAGACTTTTTCAAGACTGGGGGAAGTGGTGTGGGGAGAGCCAGGTTCGCTGCAGAGTGGCATTTGAGTTTCAGGGACAGGGCCTCAAGGGCAAGGTGTATCCAGGGTCACTGGGGCTGCTCACCAAGTGCTGTCCGAGGGGAGCAGGGAAAAGAACAGTGATGCAGTGATGAAAAGGCAGAGACTCAGCCACACCAAGGAGGCTCGGTCGGGAGGGTGTCTGGGTTTGTTTCCTAACGGACACAGCGGGTTAGCCCAGGATGCCTTTCATGAGACCAAGAGCTGGAGGAGGGTCTCAGACCCTCCTGGCGACACAGAGAGGTGCTCTACTCGGGTCTGCACTGTAGAGGCCACCGCCCACCCACTGGAAGGTTCCATAGAACATGAGCATCACCCAGGCTCCTCTCCTGGTCCTCATCACACTCCCACCTTCTGACCGCAGCAGTGCCGGGTGGTGCGGCAGCCAGGAGGGGAGCTGCCACCACATGGTCTGATGGGACTGAAGTTCTCTCCCTCATCTTTGGAACCTGAGGCCTCAGGCCCAGGAAGCTGCAAGGATAGGCAAGCAGGTCGGGCTCCTCAGAAGCACAGAGACTTTGGCTGGTGAGGCTCTACCTGCCCCAGGTCACCCTCAGCGGGGTCTAACCTCGGACTTACTGGATTACTTTCCAGCGGTGGGACTGCTGGGATGACATTTATTTTCTAACCTATGAAGCCGCCGCTAGCCTGTGGCCCCAGAAGGTGACAATTCACATTCCCATCAGGGACGTAAGGGAATCCCTCCCTTCCTGCCGGCAGCAGGTTAAACACATCTGAGGCTAAGGCTCACGGAAATGTGATGATTGGCAGGAGCTTGTTTATTTTTAATTTTTAAAAGTTTGCACTATTTTTCTCACTACAAGCTCTATGTGCATATTACAGAAAAATGTAGGAAGTACAGACAAGCAAAACCAGACAAACTTGTAGATGTTAATCATCCACCCACCCGAACTACCGAACACATTTGCTACGAGGTACATATACTCCTAAGCTTTTATCTTGTATGTGTTTTTAAATAAAAGGGGGATTGTGGTACATACTGCTTTCTAGTCTGCTTTTTCCACTTAATATCTCATAAAAAAACTCTCCTTGTCAACATATATACCTCTAGGACAGGTTTTTTTTCCCCCGGCAGAATAACATTATACTTTTGCATACACATACCCCGATGTATGTAACCAATTCCTTTCTGTTAAGATACTTAAGTAGCTTCTCAATTTTCTGAATATTGTAAGTAGCACTGCATGGAACATCTTTGTAACTAAAGATTCTCAGCCAAGGCCTTTCGGGGATCTCTAGGAACACAATGAGATGCAAAGAGCCTGGTGGTAGTCAGGGAGCAGGGCCCGGGGCCCCGACAGGCGAGGTCACTCTGGGCCACCACGGCGCCTTCACAGCAAGCCTTTCAGCTTTGGCACCCGCAGCTCTGCGCACATCCCCCCCGCCATTCCCCATCCCCCAAGCCACAGCTGGGGACACTGCTCAACTTACTCGATGGGGAACCAGTCGCCACACAGGTGCTTCACGGTGTCTATGTCATCGTGGCAGAGGAGACGCAGGCTGACCTCGCTGAGGGAGCTGGATGGCACCACCTCTGTCATTCACACCTGCAGGGAGGGAGGTGTCAGGAGGCGGCCGCACCCATGCTGCCGCCTCCTCCTCCTCATATAACCTGTGAGGCAAGCAAGGCGGGAAAGCGCGCACCCGTCCCCCTGATGGAGTGTTCCTCCCCTCACAACACTCCCTGCACTAGGCATCACAGGCACACCCCCACCTCCGCCATCCCTGCAGGGCAGGAAACCAAGGATAGGAAAGGCCTGGGAGGATGGGGACCCAGGGTCCCCTCGCTGCATGGGATACTCCTGAGCCCCACAGAGGGCAGCCCAACTCAGCTCTGTGTTCTCTCTTCTCTTGGCCCCTCTGAGCTGCCCATTGAGCGCCCACACCAGCCCTACTTCTGCCCAGAGGTTCTCACGTCTCCCTCACACCTGCTGTTTTTCCACTGGGGAGACACACGGCCCTGCCAGCCCCAACTCCTCCCAGCCTGGGCCAGTGGCTGCCAACAAACGACCCAGGGCTCAGCAGCCCCAGAGACTGCTGGATTTAGAGTGGCACTTGCTGGGTGGGCCATTTCTCCTCCCCTATGTGCGCACAGAAGGACTTCAAGACATGCCAAAAGTTCAAGACAGGGGCCACAAGTTGCAACGATTAAATCAGGAAGCTACATTCAGTCCAGGCAGGAAGGCCACGGGTGGACTCTGACAAAGCACCTGCACCCCCAGGACTCAGCGATCGCCAAGGAAAAGCCTAACCTCGCACCCCTGAGATCCTGCAGTCCCACGTCCCCCAGGGATGGAGGCCAGCCTCCCAGTGCCTCCTGTGAAATACACAAAGCCCTCAAGTTTCCCACCTACAATGCTGGGCCTGAAGCCAATCAAGCCTCCAGGCCTAACTTCACAACTGCAGGTAACACTTGGCACCCGGGCACCATGACATCTGACACACACGGAACGGGTAGAATTCTACAAGACAACTGGCCTGGTCTCTTCAAAAAGTCAATGTCATTTAGGAACCTCCCTGGTGGTGCACTGGTTAAGGAATCTGCCTGACAATACAGGGTACACAGGTTCGATCCCTGGTCCAGGAAGATCCCACATGCCGCGGAGCAACTAAACCCGTGCGCCACAACTACCGAGCCTGGACTCTAGGGCCCGCACTCTAGAGCCCACGCACCACAACTAATGAGCCCTCAAGCCACAACTACTGAAACCCATGTGCCTAGAGCCCGTGCTCTGCAACAAGAGAAGCCACCGCAATAAGAAGCCCATGCACCACAACGAATAGTAGCTCCCCGCTCGCTGCAACTAGAGAAAGCCTGCACCCAGCAACGAAGACCCAATGAAGCCAAAAATAAATAAATAAATAAATGTATTAATAAAAAAAGTCAACGTCATTAAAAAAAATAGACTAAAAAAGACAAGGAGACCTACAACCAAATGTGATGTGTAAACTCTTCATGGGAAAAATAAAAAGTCAAACAACATTTTGGAGAAACTTAAATATTGGCTGGACAGTAGATGATGAATTTATGATGAAATTATCATGAAACTGTAATTAACTGACTTAGATGTGGAGGGTACAGTGCTTATGCAGAAAGTCTTAGGAGATGCACTGCTGAAATACTTTGGAGTGAGGTATCATGAGGTCTAAAACTAAACAGTTCAAACATTTTTCAACTGCTTAGAAGGCAAATGTGACAAAACGCTATTAGCGGTTGGACCTAAGTGGCAGGTTGATATAAAACAGGAAATTACTGTTCACACATTCAATTTTTCTACATATTTGAAATTTTTCATAATAAACATCGGGGTTGGGGCAAGGGGTAGCCTGAAGTTACCTAAACTGACTCTAGAAACCACAGTTCTGTGAATGGGCACCGTGAGAGTCCAGGCAATGACCAAAGGTCAAAGGGAGCCCAAGTGCAGTGCCCTCCTGCTGTCCTGACCCTGCTCCTGATTGGTTCCCATGAAACACAGGCATTTCCATGAGGGTCCCCGGGAAGGCCATGTCCTAACCTGCCACCTGCCAGGGGCCGAATCCACCCTGAGGCTTGACCACAGGGCCAGTGGGGCAGCTGCTCAGTCTCTGAGACTTGGACATGACCCCAGTAGGCTCTGTCCAGCAAGAAGGGTTCCTTTGAGGGGTGGCCAAGGGTAGGCTGGGCAATGACAGGTCTGCCATGGACTAGCTGGAGTGGGGGCTTTAAAGGTCAGGTCCACGGGGCTGGAAACATGGTGACCTTGGTGACCTTGAAGCAGACATGGGGTGGGCGGGGAGGCAGAGGAGGTACTACAGGAGCTCCATGGCTCTGTGCCCACATCGGGTTCTATCCTTCCAGCTCTCGCCAGACCCTGCAGGGTAAGGGCCATGCCACCCTGACAGGTCCCTCTGCACAGAACGGCTTGAGAGCCGAGATGAGAGGGGACCTGCTCTCTCTTCCTCCTCCGTGTTTCCAGCCAGCACCTGCGCGCTGCACACACTGCCCATGTGGGGTCTGCCAGGTGGGGCCCCTCCTGTGACCCCCTGGCAGCGTGAAGGGAAGCTCATCAGGACAAGAAGCTGGTGAGCTCCTGCCTGAGGCCTGGTGGATCCCAACAGGCACCCTTCTTGAGAAGACTCGTCACTCAGAGGGGACCTCTGAGAGCCCACTCAGGCAGGGCAGAGACAGCCGCCCACGTCCTTGTTTTCAAATGACAGGACCAGGGACCAGGCCATCACAGACATTAACATGAGAGGCTTCTGGAGAAAGGGCAGCCACAGCTGCTGGGCTGAGTTCTCGGCTCCAAACACAAAACAAAACCAAAACACCAACCAAACAACAAAAAAAACCTCCCAGACTTGGCAAATCTGACCTTCCCACATCTCCTGTGTTTTTCTTGTTGTTGGGACACACTTTCAGAAACCAAGATGCTGTCCAGCTCCATCTCTCATGAACAGCTTGGCTGGTCCACTGCTCAGCAGCACCCCCCACCACCAATGGTGCCCAGGACGCTCTGGTGAATGTGACCTCAGGGACCTCAGGCCGGCCACCGCTTGGGAAATGGACTGTCGACCAAAAATGGCAACTCTTGAGTTTTATGAGTCATCTCTGTCCAGAATACATCCTGGCAGTCACAGCCAGGACGTGGCTTCACGGTCATCCCAGACTGTACAGTTCCAGGCGCAGAACGAGGCCCAACACATCACAGCTGCCACAACAAAGCACTGCTTCCTGCGAGGTTTCTAAACAACCCACTGCACACGTGACCCTCTTTCCCCCACAAAGGGAGAGAGTCCACAAAAAACCTCTAAAAGCACCCACGGAGTTGCTGCTAATCTTGTTGGCATGAAAACAGCAGTGTGGTTGTGTAGGAAATGTCCATATTCCTGAAGAGATGCATGCTGGACATATAGGGGTGAAATGCAGAATGTTCTGGAGCTGAATTTAGCTGGAGCGAAAGTGGCAAAATGTTCACAACCATTGAACTGGATGACGGTACACCAGGTGGATGTGTGAAAATGTTCCTAATTAAAATTAACCACCAACCTGCCAGACTTCTCCACAGGCTGAGTTTCCGGCATGGACGGCAGCTTCCCCACGTGACTGATGGAAGTACCTCTGCCATCCTGCACGAGGCCACCTTGCAGTGGCCACCCCACCTCTGCACACCCCTCGCTGGGAACAGCACAGCGCACTCCCTGCTGGCCGTGGCTGCCCACCAGCCACGCGCGGGAGCCCTGGAGGGTTCGGTGCCTGGTTCGGAGCTTTCTGGGGGCAGGAATACCGTCCGGGACCCAAGTTAAACAGTTTAACCCCCAAACTCCACCGTGGTTTTAAAGAGGAGGGTGTAGACACCCGAGGACAAGGGAACCGCTTTAGAAGCTGCCTGAGGGGCTAAGTCTTAACCACAGGGCAAGTTGGCGCCCCTTCTCCTTCCCTCGCGGCCAAGAGTGGGGAAACGCAGGAAACCCCAGTCAAAACCTCGAGCCTTTGGGACGGTCGACAACCCCATACCATCTGAGGCCGAGGCCTGGCCCTCAGTGCAGTCTTTCCAGAGAAGGGTCCTGAGACAGGCGTCCCCCTCTCCCTGTGGCAACTGCCTTTAGGGAAAATCCTGGGGGACAAGCCCCAATACATCACCACCTGCCTAATCTGAGTGGCCAAACAGGATGCCCTATACACGTTCTGCTCAACACTCCAGTGAGGGCACAACCCCTGCTCTAAATTTAGCAAAGGAGTGTAAGCTAGAGCCCACTGTGAGCTCACCAAAAAACAGCCCCAATGTGCAAGCAACCCAAATGTCCATCAATGGATGCCTGAACCAATACAATGTGTGCATCCATGTGTGAATATTTAGCACTGACACATGCTACGATGTGAATGAACACAGCAAACATGATGTTGAGTGAGAGAGGCTGGACATAACGGGCCACATACTGCACCTTAATGAAGTGTCCAGAACAGGCAAATCCATAGGGACAGAAGGCAGATTAGTGGTTGCCTACGGTGGGGAGTGGGGTTGAGAGGCTTGGAGGGTGATGGCTAAGGGTGTAGGTTTCTTCCAGGAGTGGTGAAAATGTTCTGACACTGAACATGGTGATGGCTGCACAGCTCTGTGAATACACTGAAAACACTGAATGGTACACTTTGGGTGAATTCATGGTAGGTGGACTGTACCTCAATAAAGCTGTTAAAAAGAAAACAAGGGCTTCCCTGGCGGCGCAGTGGTTGAGAGGCC